AAGAATCAACATTGTTAAGATGTCCATCCTACCCAAGGCAATCTACAGATTTAACACAATACCCATTAAATTGCCAGCAGCATTCTTCTCAGAACTGGAAATAACAGTACAGGAATTCATATGGAAACATAAATGATCATGAATCACCAAAACAATCATCAGCAAAAAGAAAAGAAAAAAAAAAGCAGAAGATATCATGCTCCCAGACTTTAAACTCTATTATACAGCTACAATAATAAAAACAGCCTGGTATTGGTACAAGAACTGGCATATAGACCAATGAAACAGGATAGAGATTCCAGAAGAAAAACCTCAATTTCTCAACCAACTCATCTTCGACAAAGCCTCCACCACCAACCACTGGGGAGAAGGGAATCTATTCAGTAAATGGTGCTGGGAAAACTGGCTGACCACATGCAGAAGATTAAAACATGATCTACCTATCACCATACACAAAAATCAACTCTAAATGGATCAAAGACCTAAATGTAAAACCTCAAACTATAAGAACCTTAGAAAATGCAGGAGACACCTTTATAGAAATTGGAACTGGCAACCAATTCCTGAACAAAACCCCAAGCGCTCATGGTATAAGAAATAAGATAGACAAGTGGGACCTCATCAAACTGACAAGCTTCTGCAAAGTCAAAGAAACCATCAAGAGAGTGGGGAGACAGCCCACAGACTGGAAAAAAATATTTGCCAACTGTATGTCTGACAAAGGCCTAACACCTAGGATCTGTAAGGAACTCAAATGTGCCAAAAAGAAGAAAACAAACAGCCCCATTACAAAATGGGCAAAAGATATAAATAGACAGTTCTCATAAGAAGACATATGAGCATCCAACAGACACATGAAAAAATGCTCAGCCTCACTAGTCATCAAAGAAATGCAAATTAAAATGACACTGAGATACCACCTAACTCCAGTCAGGATGACTATCATCAATAACAAAAAAAAACAACAGATGCTGGAGAGGATGCAGTGAAAAGGAAGCACTTCTACACTGTTGGCAGGAGTGTA